AACGAGACCCACGGAAAACTCAACAGGGCCCTACCAAAACTAAACGAGACCCTAGCTGTCGAGGGCCCAGCTGTTGAGTAAGTGAGCGGCGGTACAGGCTTTTTTCTCTGTGGTGTCGGGTGAGTGACTGATTGAGTCTTTGCTCTTGCTAAGGCGATAGGGTGCCCCCCGCTACTTTTGCACTGCGCGCTGTGGCTCAGCTGCTGCTCGCACTGATGGCCGCTCGTTCCTGGCCGAACCTAGGCCTTGCCTAGGCCCCATGGCGTGGCCGAGTCACTGCCTCTGGCGCGCGGCTGCCTCTGGCGCCTCCTGAGGCCACTGCGGCGTCGCGGCAGCTGGCGCCGCGACACTTGCGAGCGGAGAAACACGTCGTCGTCACCGCCGCCGTCGCAGTAGGCGCCATCATGACCACCCACATCATCAGCACAATCAGCGACATCATGACCACCGACATCATGACCATCGTCATCATGACCCCTGACATCATGACCACCGACATCATGGCCATCGTCATCATGGCCACCGACACCATCTCAATCCTCAGCTTCGCTCCCGCCGCCCTCATCGACCACCGACCATGGTCGCGTTCGTCGTGCTGTAGTAGTCGCCATCATCACCACCGACCATGGTCGTGTTCAGTCTTCTCCTGGGTCGCGTTTAGTTTCCCACTGCTGGGTCGTCCTGGACGGCGCCAAGGGGGGCCGAGCATGCTCTACCCCGGCCTGCCGGAGGCATGATGACGAAAATGAAGATGACGAGCGACGATGATGGAGATCTTGATCGTGATGATGATGATGATGATGATGATGATGATGATGACGATGCTGACGGTGGAATACATATAAGACCCTGGGATATGACGATGGTGGTGAGGACGACGCTGACGATGCTGCTGAGGAGAATTAGACGAGACCCTAGGACAACTAAACAGGACCCTAGCAAAACGAAATAAGACCCTAGGTAAACTAGACAAGACCATAGGAAACCTGAACGAGACCCGAGGAAAACTAAACAGGACCCCAGGAAAACTAGACAAGACCCTGGGACAACCAAACAGGACCCTACCACAACTAAACGAGACCGTAGGACAACGAAAGAGGACCCTACCAAAACTAAACGAGACCCTCGGACAACTAAACAGGACCCAGGCAACACTAAACGAAGGGGTGAATCAAGGGGCGCCAGCGGGTGGGCTTACCGAAAGGGTGAATCAGGTGGGGCGGGATGGTGGGGCGCTGGTTTCGGTCGCCGAACCAAAAGGCCTGCCCGCTCCGCTTGATTCCACCCTTCGGTTGGCCCAGGGCCCAGCGCGTCGGCGCGTGGGCACTGTGAGCGGAGCTGCTTGAACGTCTTGCTCAGCAGCGTGTTGTCCATGCTCTGGGGGGCCTCGACGAGGCCAGGGGCGAAAGCAGCCAGCGCTGCCCTCATGTCGGCCGCCATATCGGCGCGACAAGGCCCGTATCCGCGCTTCTCCGTCTTGACAAAACATCACCGACCCTGGGAGCTGGATGCGAAACGCGCCCATCGCTGCCCTGACGCTGCGCTCGCCGCTCAGGTCCGACAACGTCGTGGACGCCTTGGCGATGAAAGGATCAGGTCAGTGGCTTTGACCGCGTTCTCCGACAGAGCTTTCTTGTAGTCAGCCTCGTCGTCATACGTGTTCACTGGTTTGATGATGGCGTTGGTCGGGTCGAACAGAAGCGTGGGCATGGCCTTGGATTCCATGATGGGCGCCGCTCTCGCCTTGGCCTCGTCTGCCTTCTTCTTCTTGGATTCCTCGTCCGCCTTGGCCTTCTTCTGCTGCTGCTGCTTCTGGTTGGCCTGCTTCTTGTCGAAGCGATCCACCGCGCCTGCGACCTCGTTGCAGGAAGCTTGACACCATGTGTTCAGCTTGTCCTGCAACCCCTCGGCTGCCATGATCACCTCGTCGAGGAACTTCGTCAGCGGGGCCCCAGGGTTAGCGTAAGCCTACATCATCTCCTTGAAGCTGTCGGGCACCTCCGCGACGATAGTCACGACACTGGCCCTGAAGCCCGCGACGAGGTTGTCGCCGACGCTGCGCTCCAGCACAATAGACCCCATAGGGATGTTCACGAACGATGCGCGGAGAGAAGGATGACCTCTTCGAGTGGCTGACCGATCTCATCCGTGGGAACCAGGTTGAGGAGCAGCTGAACATGGTCAAGTCGACGATCTGGAGGGCAAGTGTCCCACAGGGATCGTTCGTGTACATCCCTATGGGGTCATTTGTGCTGGAGCGCAGCGTCGGCGACAACCTCGCCACGGTCTTCAGGGCCAGTGTCATGACTATCGACGCGGAGGTGCTCGACAGCTTCAAGGATATGATGCAGGCTTACGGTAACCCTGGGGCCCCGCTGACGAAGTTCCTCGACGAGGCGACGAAGGTCATCGCGGCGGCGATCGACGAGTCGAAGAAAGCTGTCGGCGGCAAGGGCGCAGAGCAGAAGAGGCAGTAGGCTGCCTGAGGAAGCGGGATCGTCGATGCTCGGCGCCATGGGCGCTGGGGCCAGTGGCACAGCGAACAGTTTGAACATTGGGGTTGTATTTCTTGATCTGTGTTTGCACAGGCGTTATTGTGGAGAAAATGGAGAAAGAATAGTGGAAACACGTATGGTTGGACAACGCGGTGGAAAAAGTTGGTGGAACTTTACAGCCTCTGCCCCATATCCGCCCGCTCCCCCCTCCAATAGCTTCCCGCCCTTCGTGCCCTGCCCCGCCTGAAATGATTCGCCATTGTGGTTCAAAACTCAGGCTCCTTCATACATGCTGATTTCTACACGGTGAACTCTTCCACGCGTGGCCATGTCTGCGCAGCCCAGGACTCCTCCGTATCCGCCGCCGCCGTCGCCACCGCCGCAGTCGGGGAACAGCGGTTTCGGCTACTACCCCCTGCCGAGGACCGCGTCGGACAGGTTGCACGCGGGCCCAGAGCCGGAGCTGCCCCAGGAGACGCCGCCGCCCGCATATGCAATGGTGACGGTGGTGGAGAACAGCTTGAGCGACGCCGAAAGCCCTGCGCATGAAGCCTCATGGCGTGGAGATGGTGGTGCCACCCAGGAGGATCTCCAGGACAGCATGCCGCGTGGCCTGAGTTTTGCCGCCGCATACAGCGTGCCGCCGCATGCCGACGGCGGCGAGGGATCTTCAGCGGCGGCCCCTGCGGGCATTGGGGAGACGCCAAAGGCTGAGCTGCCAATGGCAGCGGCAAGGTCTGATGAGGGAGGGGGTTGGAATCGACCTCGGCGTAAGCTGACGAAGGTCGTCTACGAGAAGCGCAGGAAGTGCATCGTGCATACTTTCAAGGAGGGCGAGGTGATCCCCGACAGCCGTGGCGATATCTTCCAGGGCCTGACGTCGATGCGCACCAACAAGTACTCGGCTGGCACCAAGACGAGGGGCCCGCTGGACGTCGAGTACACGGTGGAATACACGTGCGAGGAGGTTTGGGGGACGACGTGGATGAGGAGGCCAATTAAGGCCATGGTGGATGAGACGGCCGTCTTCTGAAGACGGTCACCGTGCATGAGTCCGACTCCGATTGAGGCCACCGTGGGCATTTGCACGATGACGGCGGCCTCATTATGACGCCGTGGAGCGTATGCATGCCGACCCGCGGCGTCAAGCCGACCTGTGGCGCGGTTTCGAGCCGACCTGCGGCGACCTGATTTGCCGCGGAGTGTGGCACTTGTTTCAACTCGCCTGATGGTTGCATTGGTTGGTCCGCGGCGGCTTGGAAGAAAGGTTTCTCTGAAGGGATTCACCCCTTCATCCACTGGCGTAAAGCAGCCAGCGCCAGCTTCGCCGTCCCTGCTGGCCTCAGCCTAGTTGCCTAGGCCTCTGGCGTGGCCAAGTCACTGCCTCTGGCGCGCCGCTGCCTCTGGCGCGCCTTCCGAGGCCAAGGCGGCGTCGCGGCAGCTCGCGCCGCGACGCGTGCGAGCGGGACAAGACGTCGTCGTCATCGCCACCACCGTAGTAGGCGCCATCATGACCACCCACATCATCAGCACAATCAGCGACATCATGACCACCGACATCATGACCATCTTCATCATGACCCCTGACATCATGACCACCGACATCATGACCATCGTCATCACGACCACCTACGTCGTCTCAATCCAGAGCCTCCCCTCGCAAAACAAAACGAGACCCTAGGACAACCAAAAAGGACCATGCCAAAACTAAACGAGACCCTGGGCACACTAAACATGACCTTGCCAACGTTAGACGAGACCCGAGGAAAAGTGCACAGGACCCTCGCAAAACTAAGCGAGGCCCTAGGAACACTACACAGGACCCTGCGAAAACCAAACGAGACCCTATGATAATAAGAAGCACCCTACCAAAACTAAACGAGACCCTCGGACAATTAAACAGGACCCCGCCCAAACTAAACGAGACCCTAGGACAATTAGACAAGACCCTGGGGCAATTAAACAATTCACGGGGGCAACTAAACAGGACCCCACCAAAAGTAAAGGAGCCCATGAGAAAACATGACCCTAGCAAAACTAAGCGAGACCCTGGGAAAACTAAACAGGACCCTGCCAACACTAAACGGGACCCTCGGGCAATTAAACAGGACCCTAGCAAAACTACACGGTGCCCTAGGACACTTAAACAAGACCCTAGCAAAATTAAACGAGACCCTAGGAAAACGAAGCAGGACCCTAGCAACACTAAACGAGACCCTCGGAAGACTAAACATGACCATAGGAAAAATACACAGGATCTGACTAAACTTACACGAGGCCCTGTCAAAACTAAACGAGACCATCGGGCAACTAAACAGGACCCTACCAACACTAAACGAGACCCTCGGAACACTAAACAAGACCCTACCAACGCGAAACGAACCCCCAGGCAAATTACACAGCACCCTAGGACAACTAAACACGACCCTACCAAAACTACACAGGACCCTTCCAATTCTAAACGGGACCCCAGGACAACTAAATGAGATCTTAGGAAACCAACAGGACCCTACCACATTACACGAGACCTTGCGCAAATTAAACAGGACCGTGTCAAGATCACACGAGACCGTAGGACAACTAAACATGACCCTAGCAAAACTAAACGAGACCCTAGGAAACCTAAACAACATCCTACCACAACTAAACGAGACCCTGGGACAACTAAACAGGACCCTACCAAAACTAGGCGAGACCCTAAGACAACCAAACAGGACCCTACCAACATTAAACGAGACCATAGGACAATCAAGCAGGACCCTACCAAAACGAAACGATGCCGTAGGAAAGCTAAGCAAAACCCTCGCACAACTAAACGAGACCATAGGACACCAAAAAGGACCCTACCACAACTTGGCGAGACCTGAGAAATACTAAGCAGGGCCGTAGGAACAATAAACAAGACCACGCGAAAACTAAACAGTGTCCTGCCAAAATTAAACGAAACCCCAGGACAACTAAACAGGACCCTACCAACAGTAAAGGAGACCCCCAGAGAACTAAACAGGACCCTGCCACAATTAAACAAGACCACGCGACAACTAAACATGACCTTGCCAAAACTAAGCGAGACCCTCGGACAACTAAACATGGCCCTACCAAAAGTAAAGGAGACCCTCGGAAAACTAAATAGGACCCCAACAAAACTAAACGAGAGCCTAGGACCCTTTAACAGGACCTTGTCAACACGAATCGAGACCTTAGGGAAACTAAACAGGACCCTAGCAACACTAAACGAGACCCTAACACAACTAAGCAGGACCTTGCGAAAACTAAACGAGACCCTAGGGCATTTTTACAGGACCTTCGCAAAACTAAACGAGACCCTACCACAACTAAGCACGACCATATGACAATTATAAACATGACCATACTAAAGCTAAACGAGACCCTAGGACAATTAAACATGACCGTGGCAACATTAAACGTGGCCCTAGGAACATTAAACATGATCCGAGCAAAACTAAACGAGACCTTGGGACAACTAAACAGGACTCTACTAAACAACGGGACCATAGGAACACTAGACAGGACCCACGCAAAACTAAACGAGACCCTAGGACAAGTAAACAGGACCCTACCAAAACTAAACGAGACCACAGAATACATAAGCAGGGCCCTAGTACAACTAAACGAGACCCTCGGACAACTAAACAGGACCCTCGCAACACTAAACGAGACCATTGGAAGACTATGCAGGGCCCTAGCAAAATTAAACGGGACCCTCGGACAACGAAACCGGACCCTGCCAAAATGAAACGAGACCCTAGGACAACTATACAGAACCCCAGCACAACTAACGGGGACCCTGGGAAAATGAAGCATGACCCTACCAACACTACACGAGACCCTAGGACAACTAAACATGACCCTGCCGCAACTAAACGAGACCCTAGGACAACTAAACAGTACCTTACCAAAACTAAACGAAACCCCAGGAACACTAAACAGGACCGTGGCAATACGAAGCGAGACCACGCGAAAACTAAATAGGACCCATCAAAACTAAACGAGACCTCAGGAAAATTAAACAGGACCTTAGGACAACTAAACGAGACCATGGGGAAACTAAACAAGACCATCGGACAACTAAACGAGACCCAAGGACAACTTAACATGACCACAACAAAACTAAACGGGGCCCTAAAGACAACTAAACAGGACCCGACCAAAACGGGACCCCGGGAGAGCTCAACAGGACCCTCGCAAAACTAAACGAGACCCTAGGGCAACTAAACGTGACCCGAGCAAAACTAAACCAGACCCTGGGGAACACTAAACAGGACCCTAGCAAAACTAAACGAGACCCTAGGAATACGAAACAGGACCTTACCAAAACTAAACGAGACCCTAGGATAACTAAACATGACCCTGCCGCAACTAAACAAGACCACGCGAAAATCAAACAGGGCCTTACCAAAATTGAACGAGACCCCAAGAACACGAAACATGACCCTACCAAAAATAAAGGAGACCCTCGGGACACGAAATAGGACCCTAACAAAACTAAACGAGAGCCCAGGACAACTAAACATGACCTTGCCAAAACTAAGCGAGACCTTAGGCAAACTAAACAGGACCCTAGCAACACTAAACGAGACCATGAGAAAACTAAACAGGACCCTGCGAAGACTAAACGAGACCCTAGGACAACTATACAGGACCCTAGCAAAACGAAACGAGACCGTAGGACAACTTAACAGGACCAAGGAAAACTAACGAGACCCTAGGAGTAGTAGGCGTTCGTTGGTGTGCGTTTTCAGCTTCTCGTGCGCCTCCCTGATGGCTTTGATCATCATCATCATCAGCGGTGTCGGCTCCCAGCGCGAGTAGTTTGCCTTTCGCCCTCTTCCCGAAGCACCGTGGGCAAGGAGGCAGCTGACCTGGCGACCGCGTCGCCTGCGAAGAAGGCGGCGGCGGCCTCACCAGCCGCTGCGGCCTCTCCAGCCGCTGCCTCTGGCGCGTCACCAGCCGCTGCGGCCTCGCCAGCCGCTGCCTCTGGCGCGTCGCCCGCCTGGCGCGCCGCCAGCCGTTGCCTTTGGCGCGCCGCCTGCCCCGCTGCGCATCGATCAGCTCCTCGAGATGGGGAACGCGTCGACGCAGCAAGGTGCTGTCAAGGACTGGGTGCAGCGCATGCGCGTGGTGTCCTTCGCGGTGCCCGCCCAGTGTTCTATGGTTGCGCCGTTGGCCATCGCCGATGCTGCCTCTGGCGCTAACCTCGCTTCGTTTCGCGAGGTCATGGACTTCGACAGCCTGGTTGCGAGCTTCCCCCGCGTCGAGGAGTACGAGGCAGCGGGGGCTGCGTGGATGTTGGACCCGGTTTGCGCGGACATCGACGACGTCACCGTAAGTCAGCTCGAGGGTGCCATGAGCATCTGGTCGGAGGAGACGTTCCTCCTCTCCTCCAAGCACGCGCCCTCGCGGCGCCTGACCTTCGACGTGCCTCTCCCCGCCTTGGTGGTCGACGCTCAGGCCGCCCAGCGCCTTGAGCCTGGCAAGCCTGGAGTTCGCTTGGCAGAGCCTCTGGCCATGATCGCGGGCCGCGCGGCGGCGATCACGTGGTGTTCTGCCATGGGCGAGGCGCTCAAGGAGTCCAACGAGGACCGCGTGTGGCATCTGTTCAATGCCGCGTTGTCCGCCCCCATCAGGACGCGCGCGCTGCCCGATGCGGGCGCGACCCATTTGGCGGCCCTGAGTTTTGGAGAGAAGCTGTTCACTGCGAGTGCTGCCTCTGGCGCAGATAGCTTCTGGCAGTTCGCAGGAAAAGCGTGCCGCGTGACAAGCGTGCGCGCCAGTCTCGCCAAATCGGAAGCAGTGGCGAAGCTGGAGGCTGCGCTGAAGGCCTACGGCCTCCAGTTCAAAGGGAAACCGCGCGCTGCCGCAACTGCCGCGGCGCTGAAAGGTTTGCGCACTTTCGTCCTCGACAGCGCCTGCGCTTCGGCTTTCTCGCTGGCCGAAGCATATATCCCAGAGCTTCGCGAACCTGCGCTTCTCATGGGGATCGGCTTCGCATGTTCCAAAAGGGCTGTCTCTGACGATGACAAGGCCAAAGAATTGTTCGTTTTCATCCTGGACACTTTCCGCGTGGCCCGCCTGGCGGGCGACGTCCCGAATGGCGAGAAACTGGCCGTGAGCCGGGCCTGCGGCCGCGATTGTAAATCGCCAGGGATGCCCCACGCGCTCTTCAAGCAGAAGGAGCTCGTCGAGTATATGTTCCACGAGGCCTCTCTCATGCATAAGGAACATGGGCGCGACATGGCCGCATTCAAAACACCTCTCCGCATCCTCCAGCGGTTCGCTTCCTCTGGCGCGGATGGGCCCGCGGCTTCGCACCGCGTGTCCGACTCAGGCGGCGGCGCCGACGGGATGGAGATATTGCTCGCGCTCCCCGTGGCTGAGTGTCGGAAAACCGTGGATTGCAAGTCGAAGGCGATGATCGACGTCGCGCGGCCTCTGTGGGCGGGCGCTTTCGACGAAGGAATCGTCGAGCTTGCCGAGCAGGGGATGCAGAGCAGCGCGCCTGCGTTCGTCTGGCACACGTACCTCGCCGAGACCAGCCAGGAGGTGGGTGCCAAGTACCGCGCTTTCGTGGCCGCCTGCATGGGCGGGCCGACCCCCGCCGACCCCGAGCTGGATGCAAATCTCGGCTTGTTGAGGGCGTCCGAGCTCGGGGAAGAACAACAGGAAGAGCTCGCCAAACTCCAGGAGCAGCTTTAGCTTCTTCCCCCAAAAAATGTGAAGCTCGTCAGTTTGCCATCTGTCGGCGCTGCCTCTGGCGCGGAGTACTCAGTGGGGCAGATGCAGAGCGTGTGGGGCGCGCTCAGCCACGGGCACCGCTTCGCGAGGAAGAAGACCGACGTTCGCGCGTTCGTCCTCTCAGCGGAGCTCTTCCCGCCCAACGTCGCCAAGCAAGGCGCCAAGGCGAGGCTGTGCGAGCAGTTGGCGTGCGACGAGGCGAAGTTCAAGCGAGTCATCGAGTTCTTCTTGCAGAAGAGGCAGACGGATGACATCCTCATCTTCTTCGACGGCAGAAGCCGCGCGAATCGCCGGGCCATTGAGACCGTCGAGGCCAAGCTGGAGTCAGGAGGCCCCCGCGCGTTCGTTGAGTGCTGGATCGTGCGCGAGCAGCCAAACAAGAAGGAGGATCCGCGGTCCCTGGCCAGGGCGCACAGCTACACCAAGAACAACAGGGAGACGGCGATCTTCTCGCTGCCAGTCAAGGGCCCGCGGAAAGTGGTGCACCGTTTGGAGTTCAACGCGCGCGGCGAGTCCTCGACCGCAGACGCGACGTACACTGGCGCCACAATGCGGCGTCTCTCCGAGCTCCCTCGCCTGAGCTACGAGACCAAGGCGAGTATCCTGGGAGCTGCATCTTGCGCTAGCGTTGACGGCGCCAACTCGAAGAAGCCGCGCCTGCAGGCAGACGTCGATTCGAAGGGCCACCCGTTCTCGCATAGCGAGGTGAAGCCCATCAGCCTGTGGCAGACGATCATGGGGCACCACAACGTGACCCACATCGTGGACTTCACTCCAGGCTCTGGCGCCTTAGCTGTTGCTGCCGCTGGCGCAATGGAGTACGAAGGCGTCGCTTGCAACGATAACCATCGGGACTGGCTCGACTTCATCGTGGACAGGTGCGCGATGCACAAGGCGGGCCACGAGGAGGGGCGCGCGCATCAATTGGGCGGCGACGCCGACTTCGCCGAGAGAGCCAGCAAGTATTTCAGCGGAACCATGATGGAGGCGAAACGTCTGCTGATGCCGCTGGTCGACGAGGACGGCGGGGACGAGGGGGGGGGCGAGGGCGAGGATGACGAAGAGTAGGCGACACACTGCCTCTGGCGTGCCACGACGTGTGTATTTGACACAGCTGCCACCAGCTGCTGCACGGCGCCCCATGCTTCCTGGCCAGGGCCGGTCTTCCTCGCTTTGGTTTGACTCTGACTTTTGGCCGCCGCGCGCGGAAGTCTCGGTTCGGAAAAAGTGATATCGTCCCCGACGACTCGCCGCCTCTCCGACGACTCCCCGACTCTCAGACTCCCCGACTCCCGACTCCCCGACCGACTCCCCGACGCCCCGATTTCGAGGAATACTGCGATCTGCCCTCAATTTCCAAAGTGCCCCGTGGTCCCCGGACTGCCCACAAGGTGCTGTTGGTATTCGTTCCTCTGCTGGCAACGCTAGCGTCGGATGCCAGCTTAGAGCAAGTGCGAAGTTTAGGTGACCTGAAAACGGCCGACGGGCACCATCCGTAGCAATTTGATCTCAAGCCCTTCCCGACGCCCTTCGCGACTCCTTCCCGACGCTCTTCCAAGCTATGGCCCTTGAAGACGCAGAGTACTGCAATACAGTACTCAGCGTCTTTGATCACGCCATGATCACGGAGGGCGACATGGCGGCCATGCCGCAGCAGCAGGAGGAGGCGCCCATCATCAGCTACGAGCAGTATGGAGGAGCCGAAGGAGGACCCATCATCAACAACGAGCAGAATGCCGCAGCAGCAGGATGCCGCAGCAGCAGGTGGAGGAGCCGAAGGAGCAGGAGCAGGCAGTGGAAGACGCCGCCTCTGGCTCAGAAGGTGGCGCTGCCTCTGGCGCCGAAGGTGGCGAGCAGGAGGAGGAGGGGCCGAAGGGGCAGAAGAAGGCAGTGGAAGACGCCGCCTCTGGCGCAGAAGGTGGCGCTGCCTCTGGCGCAGAAGGTGGCGACTCGGCGATCTGGCAGTGGCAAGAGAGGGGCGCCACCAGAAAGCTCGCCTGGGTCGACATGGACTCAGACATTTGCCAGAAACTAAATGATGCGATGCATGGCTACTACGCGCCCCCCCCCCCCCCCCCCAGGTTATGCTGACCCCATGCCCATCGCCTACCACGCTGACAAGGGTGGCACCCGCAAGTGGTGTGCGGACATGAAGACAATGACGCAGACCCGCTGTTGGCCTGACGGGGGCCGCTGGGGGGCGACGAGCAAGATTCGCCAGATCGCCTTGCTTCGAGACTAGCTGGGTCGCACAAGCACGTTTTCCCGCTGGGCTCCTTCTGAGCCTTTTGGCGCCATTGGTTGGCAACCGCCCTGCCGCGGGAGGGGCGCCGCATAAGCGGCCAGGCTGGCCAGTTGCATGTGGCCAAAAACACCAAATGGGCCAAATGGGAGTAGGAGAAATAGGGAAGAGGTGGAGAAAGGAGGAGGGCGAGGATTGTGGAGACCGATCGGAAGCGTTGCTGTTGAACCAAGAGGCGTTAGTTTTGGTAGGGTCCTGTTTCGTTGTCCTTAGGGTCTCGTTTAGTTTTGGTAGGGTCCTGTTAAGTTTTCCTTGGGTCTCGTTTAGTTGTTGGTAGGGTCCTGTTTAGTTGTCCTATGGTCTCGTTAAGTTTTGGTAGGGTCATGTTTAGTTGTCCAAGGGTCTCGTTTAGTTTTGGTGGTGTCCTGTTTAGTTTTCCTATGGTCCCGTTTAGTTGTGCCAGGGTCTTGTTTAGTTTTCCTAAGGTCTCCTTCAGTTTTTGTAAGGTCGTGCTTAGTTGTCCCAGGGTCTCGTTTAGTTGTGGCAGGGTCCTGTTTAGTTGTCTTAGGGCTTCGTTTAGTTGTGGTACGGTCCTGTTTAGTTTTCCTAGGGCCTCGTTTAGTTTTGCTTGGGTCCTGCTTAGTTTTCCTTTGGTCTCGTTTAGTTTTGGTAGGGCCATGCTTAGTTGTCCGAAGGTCTCGTTTAGTTTTGGTAGGGTCATGTTTAGTATTCCGATGGTATCGCTTAGTTGTTCTAGGGACCTGCTTAGTTTTCCGAGGGTCTCGTTTAGTTTTGCTGGTCTTGTTTAGTTTTCATTGGGTGTTGTGCAGTTGTCCTAGGGACTTGTGTAGTTTTCCATCCGTTTTGTTTAAATTTCCCACGGTCTTGTTTAGTTTTCCCAGGGCCTTGTCTAGTTTCCCTATGGTCTTGTTTCGGTCTAGTTTCCGAGGGGCTCGCTTCGTTTTCCTGGGGTCTTGTTTAGTTTTCGTTGGGTCTTGTTTAGTTGTCTTAGGGCCTGGTCTAGTTTTCATATGTTTTTTTTTATGTTTTCCTCGGGTCTTGTTTACTTGTCCTACGGTCTTGTCTAGTTTTCCTAGGGTCTTCTTTAATTTATCTAGGGTGTGGTCTTGTTTTCCTAGGGCCTTGTCTGGTTGTCCTAAGGTCTTATCGTATTTTCCTAGTTTGGCTCTTGTCTAGTTGTCCTACGGTCTTGTTTAGTTGTCCTGGGGTGTTTCTCTAGTTGTCTTAGGGTCTCCCATAGTTTGTTTTCATTGGTAGTGTTTCGTTTTCCCATGGTTGTGTTTAGTTTTCTCCTGGTCGTGTTAAGTTTTTCCCGGGCTTGTTTGGTTTTCTCCTGGTCGTGTTTGTTTCCCAACCAACCTGTGTTGTTGGGTCCTCGTTTCGAAGAGACAGCGCCCCGCGTTCCTTCCTTCATTCCTTCCTTCCTCCTCCCGCTGCCTCCTCGCTCCTCCCCCTCCTTGCTTCTGCATCAGGACACACCCCTCACACGTTTCGTGGCCCCATAGGGAGCTCCATCTAGGGTCCCAGTGGCGCCGCTCGCATGGCGGCTTCGGGCCATTCCGGCACACCCCTCACACGTTTCGTGGCCCCATAGGGAGCTCCACCGAAGGTCCCAGTGGCGCAGCTCGCATGGCGGCCTCGGGTCATTCCTGCACACCCGTCACACGTTTCGTGGCCCCATAGGGAGCTCCACCTAAGGTCCCAGTGGCGCCGCTCGCATGGCGGCCTCGGGTCATTTCGGCACACCCCTCACACGCTTCGTGGGCCATAGGGAGCTCCACCTAAGGTCCCAGTGGCGCCGCTCGCATGGCGGCCTCGGGTCATGTCGGCACACCCTCACACGCTTCGTGGCCCCATAGGGAGCTCCACCTAAACTCCCAGTGGCGCCGCTCGCATGGCGGCCTCGGGTCATTTCGGCACACCCCTCACACGTTTCGTGGCCCCATAGGGAGCTCCACCTAAGGTCCCAAGGGGCGCCGCTCGCATGGCGGCCTCGGGCCATTTCGGCACACCGCTCACACGTTTCGTGGCCCCATAGGGAGCTCCACCTAAGGTCCCAGTGGCGCCGCTCGCATGGCGGCCTCGGGTCATGTCTGCACACCCGTCACACGTTTCGTGGCCCCATAGGGAGCTCCATCCAAGGTCCCAGTGGCGCCGCTCGCATGGCGGCCTCGGGTCATTTCGGCACGCCCCTCACACGTTTCGTGGCCCCATAGGGAGCTCCACCTAAGGTCCCAGCGGCGCAGCTCGCATGGCGGCCTCGCCCCATTTTGGCACACCCTCACACGTTTCGTGGCCCCATAGGGAGCTCCACCGAAGGTCCCAGTGGCGCAGCTCGCATGGCGGCCTCGGGTCATTTCGGCACACCCCTCACCGTTTAGTGGCCCCATAGGGAGCTCCACCAAAGGTCCCAGTGGCGCAGCTCGCATGCCGGCCTCGTCCTATTTGGGCACACCCCTCACACTTTTCGTGGTCCCATAGGGAGCTCCACCGAAGGTCCCAGTGGCGGAACTTGCATGGCGCCGCCGCTTCATTTTGGCACACCCCTCACACGTTTGGTGGCCCCATAGGGAGTTCCGCCTAAGCTTACAGTGGCGGAACTCGCATGGCGCCGCCGCTCCATTGTGGCACACCTCTCACACGTTTCGTGGCCCCATAGAGAGCTCCACCTAAGGTCCCAGTGGCGGAACTCGCATGGCGCCGCCGCCCCATTTTGGCACACCCTCGAAGGACGAGGATGAAGGATGAGGACGAGGAGGAGGAGGAGGAGGACGAGGACGAGGACGAGGACGAGGACGAGGACGAGGACGAGGATGAGGACGACGACGACGAGGAGGACGACTCGTCGTCGTTACCGTCGTCGTAGTCGTCCTCCTCCTCCTCCTCGTCGTCGTACTCGTCGTCGTACTCTTCGTCGTTCCCGTCGTCGTCGTCCTCCTCCTCGTCGTCGTACTCGTCGTCGTACTCGTCGTCGTATCCGTCGTCGTAGTCGTCGTCGTACTCGTCGTCGCATTCGTCGTCGTTTTCGTCGTCGTACTCGTCGTCGTAGTCGTCATTGTCCTCGTCGTCGTACTCGTGGTCTTACTCGTCGTCGTATTCAGGAGGAGGACGAGGAGGATGAGGACGAGGACGAGGAGGAGGAGAAGGAGGAGGAGGTGGGGGAGGACGCCTCCGGCTCGGGCAACATGACCGCTTGCTCCGCTCGCCAGGAGGAGGAGGAGGAGGAGGAGGAGGAGGAGGAGGAGGAGGAGGAGGAGGAGGGGGAAGACCGCCGTGGCCGCTGTCGCTGCCGCCGATGCCGCCGTCGCTGCCGCCGTCGTCGCCGTCGGCGCCGCCGTCGCCGTCATGCTCGCGGCCGTGGACGCGCTGATCGCCTTCATACGAGCATGACGACGAGCACGCCGACGAGTACGACGACGAGTACGATGACGAGTACGACGACGAAAACGACGACGAGCATGACGACGAGTGCGACGACGAGTACGACGACGGCTACGACGGCGAAAACGACGACGAGTACGACGACGAGTGCGACGACGAGTACGACGACGACGATGACGACGACGATTACGACGACGAGTACGATGACGAGTTCGACGACGAGTACGACGACGACGACGACGACGACGAGGAGGACGACGACGACGACGACGACGATTCGCTAGGTGCGTCGACGATGCGTCCGCGATGCGGCGCGACCCTTCGACCCTGGCCCCCTTTGGGAGGCCTGTGGCAGGTTCGCGTTGTGTGGACGCGCTGGCGATTCGTTCAAGGCTGAACGCCAGGCCCATGTCGGGCCCTGGGGCCGACGGAAGCGAACCCACGGCGCGAAATCAATAACGAAGATGGGGTCAAGAGGATCCAGGGGTGGAGGTGGGCTGTATTAGAGCTCATATCTCCCCGCTCGCCTCCATCCCCAACCGGAGGAGGACGAGGATAAGGAGGAGGAGGAGGGGGAGGCGGAGGCGAGGAGGAGGAGGAGGAGGAGGAAGACGAGGAGGACGAGAGCAGGATGGGGGACGAAGTGGCAGAAAAAGAAAGGAAAGGAAGCGGGCGCGATCCTCGTGAGGAGCGTGCCGACGTGGGCGTCGAGATTTGTGTACGTAGTGATTCGCACGCAGAGTCATTCACAATCACACTCACTCGCGCTCAGGCTCACCCGTTCTCAGCCTCTCGCACTCAGACCGACCGTCTTTGTTCGTATTGCGTACCCCACCACGAATTTCGGCACGCCCCTCACACGGTTCGTGGCCCCATAGGGAGCGCGGGCGAAGATGGTATTCCACAATTGCGGTATTCACAACCGCATATGGTTGGGTCCTTCGTCAGGCTAATGTTCTCCACGGTCGCGTAGAGTTTGTCCCTGGTCAGCGCCGCCGCCGCCATCACCATCATCGCGCTTCGTCGAGCTCACTGTTGCCCCATAGCAGGTTTGGCACAAGCCGAGCGTCGCGCATCTGGGGCGCACCGCGATCGTGGACGCTGTGCTGGGCGATGCGTGTGCCGCTTTATTTTGAATTCGGGGGTTATCTAGGAGAAAAACCGGCAGCAGCGAGTGTGGGGCAGTCGCTGCCGTCGCGGGAACATTGCGGACAAACCCGCAGCGGCGGAGCGTCCAGCGCCAAGAGTAGATATCTGCCTGTGGCGAGGGCGGCGCTGCCTCTGGCGCATCGTCGTGGAAGGGGTGGTGTTGCCCCTGGCGCATCTGGCTAGGGTGGTGCTGCCTCTGGCGCGGCGCGGAGAAAACGCAGGGCGGTTCAGTCTCGCGAGGGCGTGACCGAGGCGATATCGAGTCGGACAGTAACCGATTCGGATGAGTCGCCAAGCGTTCTCCTTGCAACAAGGCGTTTTGTATCATATGCGATTTTCACCGACGGCGCAAAACGTACACGGCGCTATCTCTCTTGCCGAATGGTTCGTCGTGGCTGGCTGCAGGCGAGCATCGCGGCCAGTGGGGGTTGGGTTGCCGAGTGCGCGCGAAGGCTGCGGCCGCAGGGCGGACAAGTTCTGACGGCAGGTTCTCCAAGTTTGCTTCTTTCAAGGTCCGCCCTACGACAGGCTTCCGCGCGAAATTCCAAGTGGAACAGCATCAGAGGTCAGCAGCGCAACGACGCGCAGCGGGAGTGGAGCAGGTCGAAAGATTCTGCGCAGAATTCTCGCCTAAGTCACTGCCTCCGGCGTGCGAAGATGTTCCTTCATCAGAAAAGATGGGGGGCATGGCGGCGGCAGGCGCTGCGCTTCTGCGGGGAAATGCGCCGTCGGCCGCGGAATGGAGGGATGCTTGGGCGATGCTTTCTGAGACGTCTTCTGCGCAAGTGCGCTCGCGTGCGGCGGAAACAGTTCTCCACGGGCAATCCGACGGAGGAGAGAAATCGGAAACGCAGGCGCAAGCAGCTCTGCGTGATGGCGGAGGTACTTCGCGTGGAAACTCGTGAGGTGCTGCGGAACGCCACGTCGATATCTTTATCCCTGGGCGAGTCGAAATACCGCAAGATCTTTAGATATCGCGCTGACGTGCCCGCCCCTGTCGGCGGCGGCGTCGCTCATAACGTGGGGGCTTCAGGCTATTGCCGCTCTGGCGTGCTCGGCATCCTCGATTGCAGGAAGAGTCGCGCAGCGGAGTTCGAGGAAGGCCACGCCGCGTTTGCCGTCGAGCAGCTCGGCAGTTTTTTCGCGAAGTTCTGCGCGCCACTGGGGCGGGGCCGAAGAAAAGCACTGCCTCTGGCGCGCGATGAGTCGCTGAAGTCGCGCGTTTTGGCGACCGTCACCAGTATTGCAGCAGATGGTGCCGCGAAGGAACGACGGGCAGTGTTTCTCGCTGCCCGGGAGCTCTCTCCAAACCTCCTGATAGTGATTCGAGGCCCCGCGCATGCCATGCGCATCGCGAGCCGGCCCTTGCACTGCGACGACGCGTTCGGTGAGGTGCGGGGCGAGCTTTTCGATGGCCGGCACGCCCTGGCGCCAGACATCATGAACAGCGACAAGTGGAGAGACCTGTTCGTGGCCATTCAAGAGGACGACATCGCGCCTGTGGCGCAAGCTGGCCTTGGTCGCAAGCCTTTGGAAGCAGTCGTGCGGAATCTTTCGTTCGCCAAGCAGCGATTCGATTCCACGGCGGGGCCAGCCGGGAAGATTGCGCTGATGTTGTTGCCAGTTGCGACTTCGCTGGCGCACGTATCATCGGACAGACGTCGCGAGAGCGAAAAGCGCGAGCGGGCCCTGAATTCACTGAGAAAGTTTGACACTAAGTTTTGCATGGCTGTCGGCGTGTCCGCGGATTGGGGCATCATTTGCAATTGTTTCTTGCGTTTGTTCGACGTTGCCAACCGCGGCATCGCTTCATCGCGTTTGCAGATCGATTGCATGGTGGAGACATTGGGCGCTGTCTTCAAGGACGGGCGCGCGTTTCAGACCCTCAGGCAGGCTGCCCCTGGCGCCGCCGCCGCCATGCAGGCTGCCTCTGGCGCCGCCGCCGCGAGCGCCGAACCGCTGCCATGCGTGGGTGAGCACGGGGAGGCGCCCGGCTTCATCGCGACCGCCGTGATGTCAAACCTTCGGCGGAAGTATATTTTCTTGGCCGATGGGAATCCCGTGTTACCCTGGGGTGATCCTCGGGACGCCCACAAGGCAGAGTTGCTCGAGAGAGTGCAGAATGCGGCCTGTTTGACGAAAGATCGTCTTCTTGCAGATTTTCCTCAAAATGACATCCGCTCGGCATTGTCGATGTTCGATCGCCGTCTCATTCGGAAAGGATTCGGGGATCTGCCCTCTCTGCAGACGCGGAGGTTCATTCTCCGAGGCGTGGGCACAGTAGCCGCGGCACTCAGTTGCGACGAGGTGGCGGCCCAGCTCCAGTACCGCGACGTCATCCCCTTCATGCTGGGGCAGCTCTCTGCTGGCAAGTCTCTAGCAGAGAAAACCAATCAGGAAGCGTGGGCTCGTTTGCTCGACGATGCGTTCTGGCACTTTGCGTGTCCGAAGCGTTTGGTAAATGCGCCCAGTGTCCTCCGCAGTGCGCAGTGGAGCGCGATTTCGCGCTCCTGCGGAACGAGCAAGCGGAGCATCGCACGTCAAACCATGACTTCCCCAACGATTCCCTGATCGCGAAGCTCAGTGGTCCGCGAACCGTCGCTGAGTTCGAGGATTTCGCTTCGTCGTCCAGAGCAGAGCTCGCGCCCTTTTCTAGAAAGTGCGCCTGCCTCTGGCGGCAGCTCTACGGCGCGCGCTGCGGGCGCTGCGATCCTGCCGCCACGCGCGCGGCCAGTCTCAAGAGGGCCGAAAAAAAGATGCCCCCTGCGCCGCGCTAGTCTCGGCGTTCTCGCTGCTGCCCGCTCGGCCGCGCAGTGCAAGCGCGCGCGCCCCCAGCGCAGCGCTGCATCCTGGCGCAGGCGCGGATCGGAGCACCCGCTGGAAGGATGCTTCGCAGAAGTTTCACGACCGATCTGCGGGCAACATCCCTGGCGTGACGCAGGTTCGGGCCGCGCCGGGTGGCGCCAGCCTCCGGGCGTTAACCTCGCCGCCAAGCGGGGTGCTCGTTTGGCGCCCCGGGGTCCTTCGCCGCGCAGCCAGGTGGCGGTGCCCGCTGCCTCTGGCGCCATTGGTGATTTGCGACTGCGGGGCTCCAGAGAAGCGAAGGGGGCTCGCAGATGCGCGGGCGTTTCTTTGGTTGTTGTCAGGGGTCTCGCCGCTCTTCACGACGCGGCGGCGCTGGCTGCTGATGCGGACGTGGCAGTGTCGTTCCTGTGCGTCGTGGCGCTGGGCTTGGACGTCGTCGCCAGTGCTCAACTGTCTGCTGTCAGTTACGCCCCAGGTCGTTTATTGCCGAGCCTATGTATCAGACATGCCAGGGCATGCGAAGGAAAGGCCGAGCTCTTCGTCGAGGAGAGGCTGGGCGTGGAGCGCCCATCTGCGCGCGGCGCACTGCGGCGTATCGAGCGCGCGCCTGCAGGTGAGATCGTCGTGGGAGCTGCCGGCGCGCCTGCCTCTGGCGGCGCTTCCTCTGGCAGGCTCTTGGGCGCGGTGAACTGGGCTCTCTCCGTTCGCAAGACTTGGAACGAGGTAGGCCCGGAGGTTCTCAGCGTTGACGGGGCGCGCTTGCGAACCTGGGGCGACGGGCGTTGTCTTCTTTTCTTCGTCGTCCCCATTGCGCTCGCCATCGCAAGCTGTCGCCTTCCAGCAGGTCCTGCCAGCTGCTGCTGCTGCTGCTGCTGCTGCTGCTGCATGTTGCTCCGCCCCCCCCTCCTGCTTTCCCCCCTGCCTCTCCCCGTCGATCTGCGAGCGCCAAATTTCCAAACGACGGAATTTCGAGGCTCCACTGCGAAACCAGAAAAAAGCTTTGAGGCTGAATTTTGAAAATAAGAAAGTTGCGAGGTTTCCTTTGTGGAGCAAAAATAAGCTTTGATGCCCAATTTTGAAAGCAAGAAAAGTGCGAAGCCCTATTTGGAAGGAAAACGCGGCAGGCCCAACGTTGACAGATATAAAGGTCTGAGGCCCACTTTTCAAACAGAAATTGGAGGCTCAATTCAAACAAAAAGCAGCGAGGCACAATTTTTCAAACAAAATGAAAATTGCGAGCCACAATAATTTGGGAAATACTTAAGTTGCGATGAAAAAGAAATATTTTGAACAAAAACACATCATGTTGCGAGGCCCACTTATGCAAAAAAAACAGTTCCGCCGCAAAGCTTTTGCAAAACAATTAAGTTGCGTTGCGGGCGTTGCGAAAAAATGCGGCGAGGGAAAATTGCGAAATCAAATGGGGCATTTTAGGAAAAATGGCAGGGCGTTTTTTGTTTCAACATGTTGTGGTGAGGCCCAATTGTGGAAACGTTTGAGGACAACATTGAAGAAAAGTTGCGAGGGGCAACATTGAAAATATGCATTGAGGCCCAATTGCAATAAACAATAAAGTTGCGCGGGGCAACGAGGGGCCCGGTCCCGCGCGGCCCGCGATCATGGCCAGAGGCGCGATCATGGGCGTCGACTGACACGGCGGGGAGAGGCGCGTCGAAGGCCAGGCGCCGCGAGGGCGCGTGCTTGGAGGAACAAAATTTCAAAAAACAAATATAGTTGGTGGCGCGGCGAATTTATTTTGGAAAAATGGACAGAAATAAAATTGCCGCGTGGGCATTTTCATGTCAAAAAAAAAGAAAAAGATAAAGTTGTCGCTGCGACAGCTGCATTGAAAACATTGAAAAAAGCAGAGGAAAATAAAGTTGTCGGGCGGGGAAAATTGGAATACAAGTTGTCGCCGCGACAACTCTATTGAAACAGACTTAAAAGACAAAGTTGTCGGCGCGATGATTTTAGTAAACGCATTCGGAACAACAATAAAACTATTGAAAGCATTTTTTTTATATAAAAAAAAAACGCTGCTGGTACGAGGATTGTTTAAATTAAAGAATGAGCGCAAACAAATATTACCCGGTGGAAAATTGGAAAAATCAAGTTGTCGTTGCGACAACCTTTTTAAAACGTTTTGAAAACGTGCAAATGTCGGGTGGGGAAAAATGGAAAAATGAAGTGGCCGCTACCACATTTCTATTGAACAAATGAAAACAATAAAGTTGCCGGGTGTATTTTTTGCGGGAAAATAATGTCGTCGCCATCGCAACTTTTTCAAAGCACCTTTTGAAACAGATAAAGGCGTCGGGGGAGGGGGCGGGGAATTTAACAAAATGAAATAAAGTTGTCGCTGCCGCAACTTTATTATATATATATAAAGAACAGTTGCGGGGTGGAAAAAATTGAAAAATACAAACTTGTGGAGGGGGTTGTGGAGGGGGAAAATTAGGAGTCATACCTTATTTTATCGAATTTCGAAACCGGCTGAAATATGCGAATATTGAATCTTTACGTTGGGCTCTTGAGCTGCGGACTTAATTCAAATCAATATGCAACCGCAACCCAACATCCCAACATAAGGATTCAATGTTCGCTTATTTTACCCGGTTCTGAAAATGGGTACTATAAGCGAACGTTGAGCCGGCGCGTTGGCCAACTGAGTTGTCGCATCTTGGCCCGAGGAGTTTGTAGAGTTTTTTGTTTCAAAAATTGCCGGGGGACAAAATCGAAACATAAAATTGTCGCGCGGGAAGAATTCAGAGAAAAAAACAAAAAAACAAAAAAAAAAAAAAAAAAAAAAAAAAAAAAAAAAAAAAAAAAAAAAAAAAAAAAAAAAAAAAAAGTCGCCACGCAAAACAATGAAAACAATTAAGTTGTCGCCGTGACAACCTTATGTATATACAAAGACCGAAAGACATTCAATTGTCGGCTGGATTTATATATATATATATATATATAAAAAAAAGGTTTAAGTTGTCGTTACCACGACCTTATTGCAGAAAAAAAAAACCACAAGAGCGCGGATGACGAAATGACCATCAAGTGCGCGCACAGGCGCAATTGCCGCTTTCTCGACAACGACAACTACCAGGTCTGGCCCCGCGCCCTCCACAATCCCCAGCAGCGCGCCTGGCTGGAGAGCAACCAGGAGAAGCTCCATATGAAGTGCTACTTTGACTCCCTGGGCTTCTTCGAAACGCTGGACGGGAACAGTGCCGTCATTTCAACTATGCAGGGCGCGAGCGATGCAGGCGGTCGGACTGGGCCGCGCAGTCTTGACTACACCCGTGCGCGCGTCAATCCTGCGTCTCATGTGCATGGCGACGACTCCTGTGTGACATCCGTTAAAGTTTTTTATTTGTACTTCGAATTGGGCTGCATCAATATATGTATATATATATATGTATGTATATATATGTATGTATGTATGTATATATATAGATCCCTCTCTCTCTCAAATTGTTTTTGGTGTTTTTTGTAGTCCTTGTTTTGTTTCCCTCTCTCTCTCTCTCCAATTGGTCTTTATGTCTTGTCCCCCCCCCCCTTTGTTTGGTTTGCCCCTCGCTCTCTCTCTCTCTCTCTCTCTCTCTCTCTCTCTCACTCTCTCTCTCTCTCTCTCTCTCTCTCTCTCTCTCTCTCTCTCTCTTTTTTTTTTTTTTTTGTTTTTCCTCTCCCTCTCTCTCTCTCTCTCGCTCTCCTCTCTCCTCTCTCTCTCTCTCCTCTCTCTCCCTCTCTCTCTCTCTCTCTCTCTCTCTCTCCCTCCCCCTCTCTCTATTATATTATATATATATATATGTTCTCTCTCTCCTCTCTCTCTCTCCCTCTCTCTCTCTCTCTCTCCCCTCTCAGACTCTATGTTTTGGCATTGTTTTGTTTTTTTTCTCTGTATCCAATTGGGCTTAATTTTTTCTGTTTGCCCCTCGCTCTCTCCTCCCCTCTCTCTCTCTCCTCTCTCTCTCTCTCTCTCTCTCCTCTCTCTCTCTCTCGTTTCCTTCCTTTTCCCCAACTAACCCGCGTTGTTGGGTCCTCGTTTTTGAGAGACGGTCCCCGCGCCCCTTCCTCCTCCTTACCTTCTTCTTCCTCCTTCCTCCTCTTCCCTCCTCCCCCCCCCCCCCCCTTCCCCCTTCCTCCCCCTCCCGCGCCCATTCTGGCCCCATAGGGAGCTCCACCGAAGGCCCCAGTGGCTGCGCCCGCATGCGGTTCCGCCCCCCCCCCCCCCAGTTTGGCACGCCCCTCACACGTTTCGTGGCCCCGTAGGGAGCTCCACCGAAGGCTCCAGTGGCTGCGCCCGCGTGCGGTTCCACCCCCCATTCTGGCACACCCTTCACACGTTTCGTGGCCCCATAGGGAGCTCCACCGAAGGCCCCAGCGGCTGCGCCCGCATGCGGTTCCACCCCCCCATTCTGGCACACCCCTCGCACGTTTCGCGCCCCATAGGGAGCTCCACCGAAGGCCCTAGTGGCTGCGCCCGCATGCGGTTCCACCCTCCATTCGGCACACACCTCACACGTTTCGTGGCCCCATAGGGAGCTCCACCGAAGCGCCAGTGGCTGCGCCCGCATGCGGTTCCCCCCCACCCCCTCCCCTCCATCCTGCACACCCTCACACGTTTCGTGGCCCCATAGGGAGCTCCACCGAAGGCCCCAGTGGCTGCGCCCGCATGCGTCTCCCCCCCCCCCCCCCCCCATTCTAGCACACCCCTCGCACGCTTCGTGGCCCCATAGGGAGCTCCACCGAAGGCCCCAGTGGCTGCGCCCGCATGCGGTTCCACCCCCCCATCCTGGCACACCCCTCACACGCTTCGTGGCCCCATAGGGAGCTCCACCGAAGGCTCCAGTGGCTGCGCCCGCATGCGGTTTCACTCCCCAGTCTGGCGCACCCCTCGCACGCTTCGTGGCCCCATAGGGAGCTCCACCGAAGGCCCAGTAAGGCGCTGGATCAAGTCACGGTCACGGTCACGGTCACGGTCACGGTCACGGTCACGGTCACAGTCACGGTCACGGTCACAGTCACAATCACGGTCCCGGACCCGGACCCGGGCCCGGACCCGGACCCGGACCCGGACCCGGTCCCGGTCCCGGTCACGATCACGGTCACGGTCACGGTCACGGTCACGGTCGCGGTCACGGTCACGGTCACGGTCACGGTCACGGTCACGGTCACGGTCACGGTCACGGTCACGGTCACGGTCACGGTCACGGTCACGGTCACAGTCACGGTCACGGTCACGGTCACGGTCACGGTCACGGTCGCGGTCACGGTCACGGTCACGGTCACGGTCACGGTCACGGTCACGGTCACAGTCACCGTCGCGGTCACGGTCACGGTCACGGTCACGGCCACGGCCACGGTCACGTGGTCACGGCCACGGCCACGGCCACGGCCACGGCCACGGTCACGGTCACGGCCACGGGCATGGGTTTTGCCGGTGTAATAGTGACGTCATCGGCGACAAAGTCGCCGGCAGCATCGGTCATGGTCTGGACCCAAAGCGTGGCGTCGCACAGCGGCGCGGAACACAACACCGCACCGCGCAGCATGTCATGGCATGGCGCCTGACTCCTCGGAGGGTAAGTGGATCGTCGTGGAGAGGTCTGGGCCCGTCTGGAGCCGCGGCTCCATGTCCAGCTCCTTAGGCTCCCCGAAAAGCCCCTCACAAGAAGGGCTGTCGGATAGAACCCGCTGGCTCTGCTTTCAACATCCCCCTCGCCCGGATCATCTCTTACATCCGCTCGCGCCCGCAGGGGGGGCTCCCAGATGCTGCGTGGATGGACAACGCATGCGCCCTCCGGAAGTGCGCCCAGAGCGCTCGCAGGGCCACGCGGAACGATCTGGCCAGGGTGCTGAGCACCCTGCATTACGTCCTGGACGCGTGGCACAGGGCCAATCACACAGCCTGCCTCCCAGACCTCCTGGCGTCGTAATTTTTTCATGACGCCCCTCTTGTAATGAATTTTCTGTGATGTCTTGATTTTTTGTTACACGTTTCAATGTCTTGATTTTGGCTCAGTTGACAGCGCCTTGTCAGCCCTTGATAACCACTGAGAAGCCTTGACATCCACGGCACCCATGGATTCCCGTTGTGAACCTAATTGGCCGAGCGGATTTCGGGTGACCCGCGCAGTGGGCGGGTCACCCCCGCGCGCGGGTGACCATGGTCACCCGCGCGCGCGCGTAGGGAGTTCTGCATCGTCCACAACAGAGAAGTCGGCGCGTCCGTCGGCCTCCTATAAAGAGCCCCAGAAATTTTGAATTCAGTTTTTGGCATCACATGTCGACTTCTCCATTGTGGACAATACAGAACTCCAACGCCCGCGCGCGCGCGTAGGGAGTTCTGTATCGTCCACAACAGAGAAGTCGGCGCGTCCGTCGGCCTCCTTAAAGAGCCCCAGAAACTTTGAATTCAGTTTTTGGAATCACATGTTGACTTTTCCATTGTGGACAATACTGAACTCCAACGCGCGCGCGCGCGCGCGGGTGACCATGGTCACCAGCGCGCGCGTAGGGAGTTCTGTATCGTCCACAACAGAGAAGTCGGCGCGTCCGTCGGCCTCCTTAATGAACCCCAGAAATTTTGAATTCAGTTTTTGGGATCGCATGTAAACTTTTCCATTGTGGACAATACCGAACTCCAACGCGCGCGCGCGCACGCGCGGGTGACCATGGTCACCCGCGCGCGCGTAGGGAGTTCTGTATCGTTCACAACAGAGAAGTCGGCACGTCCGTCGGCCTCCTTAAAGAGCCCCAGAAATTTTGAATTCAGTTTTTGGGATCGCATGTGGACTTTTCCATTGTGGACAATACCGAACTCAACGCGCGCGCGCGCGCGTAGGGAGTTCTTATCGTCCACAACAGAGAAGTCGGCGCGTCCGTCGGCCTCCTTAATGAACCCCAGAAATTTTGAATTCAGTTTTTGGGATCGCATGTAACTTTTCCATTGTGGACAATACCGAACTCCAACGCGCGCGCGCGCGCGCACGCGCGGGTGACCATGGTCACCCGTGCGCGCGTAGGGAGTTCTGTATCGTCCACAACAGAGAAGTCGGCGCGTCCGTCGGCCTCCTTAAAGAGCCCCAGAAATTTTGATTTCAGTTTTTGGGATCGCATGTAGACTTTTCCATTGTGGACAATACCGAACTCCAAAACGCGCGCGCGCGCGTAGGGAGTTCTGTATCGTCCACAACAGAGAAGTCGGCGCGTCCGTCGGCCTCCTTAAAGAGCCACCAGAAATTTTGAATTCAGTTTTTGGGATCGCATGTGGACTTTTCCATTGTGGACAATACCGAACTCCAACGCGCGCGCGCGCGTAGGGAGTTCTGTATCGTCCACAACAGAGAAGTCGGCGCGTCCGTCGGCCTCCTTAAAGAGCCCCAGAAATTTTGAATTCAGTTTTTGGAATCACATGTTGACTTTTCCATTGTGGACAATACCGAACTCCAACGCGCGCGCGCGCGGGTGACCATGGTCACCAGCGCGCGCGTAGGGAGTTCTGTATCGTCCACAACAGAGAAGTCGGCGCGTCCGTCGGCCTCCTTAGCACCAGAAATTTGAACTCAGTTTTTGGAATCGCATGTAGACTTTTCCATTGTGGACAATACCAAACTCCAACGCGCGACCATGGTCCCCGTGCGCGCGTAGGGAGTTCTGTATCGTCCACACAGAGAAGTCGGCGCGTCCGTCGGGCTCCTTAAAGAGCCCCAGAAATTTTGATTTCAGTTTTTGGGATCGCATGTAGACTTTTCCATTGTGGACAATACCGAACTCCAACGCGCGCGCGCGCGCGCGCGTAGGGAGTTCTGTATCGTCCACAACAGAGAAGTCGGCGCGTCCGTCGGCCTCCTTAAAGAGCCACAGAAATTTTGAATTCAGTTTTTGGGATCGCATGTTGACTTTTCCACTGTGGGCAATACCGAACTCCAACGCGCGCGCGCTACAACCGAAGAGCCCTTAACGGTGACCGATTTGAGCTTGAAGTTAACATGCGATTTCTTGGAATTCCACAACCGAAAAGTCGCCATGTTGGCCAAGCGCGTGGACATTTTGACCACGCGGCAATGCGCGACTACAAAAAGCTGCTCTTCCTCTTTTCACTTCCCCTCCTTCTTCCCCCCCCTCCTCCCTGGGGAGCGGCGCGGAAAAGGAAGAGGGGGGGGGAGAGGAGGAGGAGGAAGGGGAGGAGGAGGACGACGACGAAAACGACGACGAGGACAAATGAAACAGGAGGTCGAGGAGGAGGAGGAGGAGGAGGATGAGGAGGA